TGTATATATTTGACAACAGCGTCATTAATGCAAACAACTGAATGCCTTGCATAGACAAAGGTCAAAAGCAAATGACTGGCGCATGTTCCTTAAAATCGCTATAATTTGTACCTCATACTGTCTGTCCTTTACCTTATAACTTTTTCTTTTTTGTTTGTTGTGCTAGCTTATTATGTATATTATTGTATGTATAATATATGTATGTATGATTGTATGTATTTACATAATGTACTGTATATTATTATATTCTTTTTCTACAAAGCATACAAATTCTGATGGGAAATACTAAGAAAGGGAGTTGAAAAGTAGTGAAAGGGCTTAGGCCCAGTCACTGACAAAGTGTTTTCCCTTTAGGTGCCCAGCGCAGTAACAGCTTATAATACAACCCTGAGTATGCTGCTTTGTAATGAAGATGCAATGGAATGTTACATAATTCTAAACAATGTATTTTAGCCTCAGGGCTCATATAAAATGCATTTGAGATTTGCTGTTCTTTTAGTATTCACTTCAACACCATGATGCCCAGCTTCTGTTCTTTAATGAAGAATGTTTGAAAACATTACAAGCAGTACTGACATTTCAAAACACTAAAGAAACATAGGTTGTATAACACCAATCAAGAACAAAATGTATAATAAACATGGGAAAACAGAGTTTAATTAACAACCCACTTTGTAAAAAAAATCATCAATAAATATATTATTCATGAAATTAAAGGACACACTTAAAGGACTAGCCCCTTCAATGCAAAGGTTAAGTGCTGGTATTGACTAGGGGACCCAAATAAAGCTGCCATACTCACCTGACCCTCAATCCCGCAGCGGTCGGTGCTCACCTCCCCCCCTCCACTCTGGCTATAGATTGCCCCTTGACATCCTCACATCTAATGCAAGTCAATGGACCTGCATACGATGCGATACCGTTAGTGGTACTTAGACCCAGAGCCCAGGGGAGAAGCTGCTTCTGGGACTAGTCTAGCAACCCAGAGAGCCTGAGGATCAGGTGAGCAATACAACTTTTTTTTAACCTCCTAGACAAAATGAGCACTTACCACTGCAAGAGTATGTTTTCAGTTTTCCTGTTCTTTAGAAGAAAAAAAAAGTGCACTGCTGGATATCAGGGGCAGACCTACTGCCAGTGCGGCTGCACCAGGGCCGAGGCTGGGGGGGCCCAGTGATATCTGGACCCGGGCACCCCCATTGGTGGAATACAGGGCACTGCGGGGGCCAGCTGGGGGGGATGTCTAATGGGCTTCTGAGTGGGGGTTCCCGCTTGGACTCTGGGCCACATTCCTAGTAATAGGCAGCGGGAGAGGAGAGGGGAGAGACAGACGTGCAATGTGCAGTTATTGGGAGAACCGGAGGGAAGATGAAGATGGAGGAGGCAGAAGGAGGAGAACAGGTGAGAGATGCAGTGTATCCAAGTATAGAATCTGGACAGGGAGCCAGTCAGAACCGGCACTGCTCAGAGATTCCTGTGTGCATAGAGATCTCTGTGTATATACGGATCAATGTATATAGAGATCTACTGTATGTCTGCTATACTCCACGCTTTGTATATAGAGATCATTGTTTGCTATACTCCCCACTTTGTATATAGAGACCAGTGTGTGCTATACTCTCCACTGTGCATATAGAGATCAGTGTGTATATAGAGATCAGTATGTGCTATACTCCCCAATTTGTAGAGATCAGTGTGTATATAGAGCTCATTGTGTGCTATACTCCCCACTTTGTATATAGAGATCATTGTGTGCTATACTCCCCGCTGTGTATATAGAGATCAGTGTGTGCTATACTCCCCGCTGTGTATATAGAGATCAGTGTGTGCTATACAGGTGAAACTCGAATAATTAGAATATCGTGCAAAGTTCATTTATTTCACTAATGCAACTTAAAAGGTGAAACTAATATATGAGATAGACTCATTACATGCAAAGCAAGATAATTCAAGCCGTGATTTGTCATAATTGTGATGATTATGGCTCACAGCTCATGAAAACCCCAAGAACCCCAAATCCACAACTTCAAAAAAGTAGATTATTACATGCAATCAATAAAACAAGGATTGTACATAGAACAATATCGGACCTCTGAAAAGTACAAGCATGCATATGTACTCAGTACTTGGTTTGGGCCCCTTTTGCAGCACTTACTGCAATTACGTTTGCACGATATTCTAATTATTCGAGTTTCACCTGTACTCCCCGCTGTGTATATATAGACCAGTGTGTATATAGAGATCAGTGTGTATATAGAGATCAGTGTGTGCTATACTCCCCACTTTGTATATAGAGATCAGTGTGTGCTATACTCCCCACTGTGTACATAGAGTTGCTGATGCAATGGGCTTCTGTGAGGGAAGGGGGAAATCGAGAAAAACAAATCTTGCACCAGGGCCCTTTGTTCCTCAGGTCCGCTTCCGCTGAATATATTTTGACAGCTACACAAACACAATATATTCTATAGTTTGAAAACCTTCCCCAATGACTTAATTAGTTCCTCTTGTTAGCAACAGCAGAACCTGGGGTGTAGGTAACATATTTAAAGAATCAGTCCACCTAATATTTTAGGTCAATTTCCGGTCTCTAATTTGCCTTAGATACTTCAATGGCCAGATCTCCCTGACATATATCCTAACTTTTTTTCCTGTCCACCTAACGTTTGCTTGTCTCAGTGCCTCCTGTTGTATTCTACTAAAAGAAGTAATAAACTCAAACTTTTTTTTCAATAATGAATCCAGATCAAACACATGTTCCTTGCCTAGTAAAGTATTTCGTTACATTTTTGCTCAAGCACTTAGTCATATTGTTTCCAAACAGCTTGCTTCAACTCTCTCAGCTCCGCTCAAGTACAAGTTCACATTGAACAGAGCAGTCTCCAGCAGCTGTCCATCTACAAGCTTGAAGGAAGGAGGAGCTTGAAACAGGGGAGTGTCTTGCCTTGCTGTGTTTGCTGAGACACACAAAGCTTACTAACACACTTAAGGGCGGCTCCATAGGACCCTGGAAGAGATGGGAGCCACCCTAAAACAGGACATCAGTGCCAGTGGTCAGGGGACCAGCTGATTCTGCAGGGAACTAAAAGCTTTTAAACATCAAGGTAAGTGATTTAATGAGCATTTGAAATAGCTTAAACACCTTTTGTCTTCATCATCACTTTAATGGAAAATAGGTAATGATGCATAAGTGAGGGTGGAGCCCTTCATACTGGTCACAGTAGGTGTGCGGACGTAGGAACTCAAGCACAGATATGTTGCCAATACAGTCCCCATATAAGAAATGATCAGTTCAATGATCTACCAAATAAATATGTATTTCTATATTGAATTTATATGTATGTAATATTGAAGTTCTATCCCACTCCCAACAACCATATTGATCTACAAGTTTGTAAACGTATTGAAGATGTCCATAGGATGTGCTTCCTCAATGCAGTGACACAATTTCACTCAGCCCAGTGATTAGGCACTTCCTTGTGTCACCACTCTAACTAGGCCTGCCATCTGAACTATAACTCAGTGCCTGAACTTCCCGCAATGTAACTTCATCATTGCTTGCTGGAAACAATGCTTAAAGGAGAACTATGAGATGAGTGATTTTGATTTCCACTCACCTCATAGTTCTAGCCGACCTGTGACAATGAGACTGTCACAGGTCGGCTCAGTAGATCGGGAAGTGAGCGAACACATACCGGGTTCGCTCACCTCGAGATCCTGTCACGGCTCTCTGCCGTGACAGGGGGAGGGGCTGGATTCCCCTCTCCCCGCTCCGATCTGCCAGCGCTGACTGGCGGAACGGACGGGGGAGGGGGCGGGTACAGCTGGCTCTGCCTCTAGATAGCCGTCACATCAAGCAGCATGGGAAAAGATGCAAAGCACACTGGGAAAGCAGCAACAAAAGGCAGCACTCACTACAAAAGAGGGATTTTTTTTCCAAGTATGCTTTGATTGCATAATGAAAAACAACTCTAGTATGTATTCCTATTACAATGCTGGTGTTATACCAGGGTAGGATATAATGGGACTTTAGAACCCCTTTAACGTTTGTCACAGTGGAAAGAAATGGCAGTACATGGATTTTTTTTGTATACATTTTTAATTTTGTAGAAAGAGGCTCAGAGAAACAGGTATACACATTCCCTTGACAGTATGTTGGAGAACAGAGATATGTGTAGTCTTTTACCTATACTAAGACATAATACAGAGAAGCAGTGCTTATCACAATCCTACCAAAACGTGGTCGTGCAGGGAAACCCCCCAGACCATGGGAATCTGTCATTCTAACATGTTCCATAATGAAGACCCTCAGGCAACAGTTTCCTAATTGGACCCCAGTCTCCGAAACCACTGTTTTAACAAGATAACGTGAAACTTGAAATGTTTGTGATCATTAAGTGCAGAGAGGTAGTAGTAATGTAATTTTCAAGACATGGCTACATTACCACTTCATTATCGAGTGCAGCTTGTGAGCTCCTTCCATACGTTTAGAACCTGTCACTGGAGAAACCACAGGCTTATAGAAGCTGGACGGACAGACAAGTGGAAGCACGTAACTTATGTGCAGCTTGTTTTAAAAGACTTACCTGCCCTAAGAAAATAGCAGCTGAAATCGGAGTGGTATGTAAGGGCCTATTTACACCAATTGTGGGGCATTCACAGTGGATGGGAACACAGGCAATGTTTTGCCACACATCTGATCAAACTGTGGGCGGGGGGGGGGCGTGGCTGCGGGGCCTTTGACTTCAATGCACCGCCATGCCCCCTCCCGCCCCAGAATGAAGGGGAAAGTTTAGTCAGCGACTGCTGTGCGTTCCGGCAGCTGCTGCTCTGGAACGCACCGCAATTGGTGTGGATGGGCCCTAAATAAAATATTTGCTGATTCAATGATATCTGCAAATCAAAACATTAAAAAATAGGCATATTCTCTTAAAACTCATAAAGCTATGTTGCCTTTAAAATGCCTGATACATACTGTACATTCATTTAATTGGTTGCATTGACATAACATGCCAAACGAATTTTCAAACAGTTTCAGGAAGCGGAGTAATCTCATTTTCCCCAAGATAAATGCCACAATGTAGATTTTCATCTTTAACAGCAGCCCATGACATTTGCTTAGTAGAGAATTTTGCTGTCCATTCACCAGCACTGTTGACAGCTATAACTCCACCAATGCCATCTACTCGAGTTTTCATGAAGTTCAGACCTGCATCTGAAGCCTCCTCCAAAGACATGCCTGTAAGAAAGATGGATTATAATGTTACCGCCATATTAATACTTTACATACTTAAAGTGTACCCGGTGACATAATCCCCTTTGTGCAAGTTCCAAAAAAGTACTTGCCTTTTGTAGTCTACAAAATGTTTTTCTTTGCACCTGGCTGCATTGCACATACTCTGGGAATTGATCTACAAGTAAGGGCTCTTCACACGTTTCCTCCATCATGCATGCACCTCAGCGGCTCCTTAAAGTGCACCAGTGCTTTGGCCATGAAAGGCAAATCTTTAGGTTCACTTTTATGCCAGCCCCCTGCAGCAGCATATGCTTACCAAGCCTTTGCTTCCCCACCACTACATGCTACATGCCTAGTACTTCTGGATATGGAGAAATGTGCAACTTAATCTTTCCATGTCACATGACAATGCTTCTGCTCAGTGACTTGCTGCTCAGCTTAACATACTCACCATCCCTTTGCTCTTTCTTTGCTCCATTTTTGCTACTGGGCTGATTAAACACTTCCCGGCCGGCTGTTGTAAAAAAATGGCCGGCCGGGATCTCTCTAGATCTGAGCGTCCGTCTTTAGAAAGTCCTAAAATGTAAAAACAGGCAGCGATGCCTGTTAACATACAAGCGATCCGCCGGCTATAGAGCCGGAGGATCGCTTGTATGAGGTCCCGGCATGTGCACCCCCCCCCCCTCCCTGCCACACTGGTCCCGGGCTCCGCTGTGCCCGGTGTGAGCCCGGGACCAGCATAGTGCCTCTCGGACAGGGGATCAGATGGAGATTGGTACACGATCTCCATCTGATCCCCTCTCCGCTCACTTCCGCATTCTTGTGTCACTCTCCAGCTTCAGATGCTGGAGAGAAGCGGATGAAGCAGATCTCTGTTTCATCAGCTTCTTTGCGGGGGGTCCTAGGTGACATTAGGGGTCTTGGAGACCCCTGATGTCTCCATAAAGAGGACCTGTCACATCTTTTGCTATCACATAGAGGGGTTTCTTAGCCCCCTATGTGATAGCAATAAAGTTAAGTGAAAAAAAAATTGAAGTCCCCCCCCCAAATTTTTTAAAGTTACACATAAAAAATTATTTAAAAATGTTTTTTTTTTCAAGTTCCCCCATACATACACCCATGCAAACATGCGTCGGGTGTGCATACGTGCGAAAACGATGATTGCGCCCATTACGCCGCATATGTTACATATGGTCACGAACATCGCAGTGAGAGCAATAATTTTAGGGCCATTAATCAGTGATAACACTAAACTGATGAGCGGTAAAAGCTTTTAAAGCGTCGCCTATGGGCAATTTTGGGTATGGTAGTTTTTTGCGATTTCACGGGTACGCGCAATTTTAAAGCTTGACATAAAAACACACACAGGGGTTTTAATAGCATAAGCAGGTATAAAATGTATGCACATAAGATATAAGAGGTGATGGCACAAACTACCACACCTTCCTAAAATGGGCAATTTCCAGGCAGTTCTGAGAGGCAAAGCTTCAACAGTCCCTTATAGTCATACTTTGGAATATTTCAGGTCCATGAACCGGAGATAGGGGAAATAACTGCAGCACACCAAAATGGAGGCAATGGTTGCATTACTCTTAACCTCTAAAATATGCAGCCTAACAGTGGCTGACGAAAAACATGCCACTGTGTGTTGCGGGTGAGAAACAAAATGTGCTGTCAGAGCCCCAGCATAGGTGGTGTCAGCCGAAGGAAGAAAAATGTTCTAATATCAGTGGGAGGAAGGAAAATGCCACAGTATTTGTGGTGTCAGTAAGAGAAAAACTGCTGAGGCGTTAATGTCAGTGGGATGAAGGGGGCTCTAAGAGAAGGTCCTCCTCCAACCTCCTTACTGCTATTCTAGCAACATTTGGGATTTGGATGTGACAGGATGGTTTGAAATGCTGCTGGAAGTACCGTATGTGAAGGCACCTCTGGGTGTCTGCACTTTATACATACAGCAATGTCTTTATTTACTTTCATGAAACATTTATCGCAGGGCCTACAAATTTAGTATCACCATCTTTTTATTCTACCGGGCCTGCGCTTTTAGAAAATATATGGTTTGGGGGGTCTTTTACAAACGCTAACAACGCAGCAGTTGAAAATCAAATCAATAGGAAAAAAATGCAAAAAATGCAAAAATGGCTTGGCCAGCTGATTTGAAAAATGTTCCGGAGGGCTTGGCAGCGAAAGGGTTAAAAGAGTAGAGCGTGCAGAAGAGCAAACACTAATTTCCAAACCATTGCTCTGGGTTTTTACACACTACTTCTCTTTGTACTGCTCTTCCAATAGTTACCAAAAGGGGCTAAATGTGAGTAACAATAATCAGCAGCATGGTACATGCACTAGAATAGATGATGGATTACTCCAATAAAGTAAATATAGAACAAGTTCCCTTTTTAGGTATCACTATGGTTACAAGCAATGAAACAGTTTTATAGATGATTTACCTTGTTCCATATAATGCAGTATAAGTCTGGCTAGCGTTACTTTCATAATGCTTTCCCCATGTCCTGTAGTAGAGACTGCACCAATGTTGTTATCAGCATAGCCCCCGCTACCTGCAGAAACATAGGAGATCAAACAACAATTTTATGTATTGAAGTATAGTAACCGTAGAAGAACGTATACATGTGTTCAGGATAACCATGTTCTACCTCTAGTTTAAGCAAATCTCTCTGTCACCACCACAATCTTTGATATACTGATATACTAATACATGTTAATACAGACATGCCCAAATAAAGCCAAAGGTATTAAGCTGGCCATACACCTATAAATTATCTGCAGATTTTCTATGAACAGATGGAAAAAGTGCAACAGATTCCTCCATCTACGCTAAACTGTGTGGATGGAGGAATCTCCCACTGGGCCAAGCTTCAGTATCTTGATAGTCGGCACTGCTGGCTGTCAAAATAGCTGAACAATTTGATTGGAAGCAGTTTTATTCAGTACAAATAGGCAGTGTGACTATCATTTAATACCTCAAAAAAACACCCGTCATAAAATCCTCTGCAGAAATAAAAGAAGAATAGATACTATATAGTAGATATATATGTTACTACTACCATACAATATTTTGCATGCCAAGGTCCAAAGATATAAAGTAGCTCTAATTAAGGTACTGTATGTCATTACCCACAGAAAAAAAAACAGAAGCATTTCACATTTTGTAAGGGCTAATTCAGGAAAATGTGACAGGGATATCAAAAGAAATAAATATGTGTATATATATATATATATTTGAATTTTTTTTATTAGGGATGCACCGATGCTGTTTTTTCGGTACTCACAGAGTATTGGGGCATTGTGTCCCGAATATCAGGAAGTTGGGCAGCGGATCATGACCTGTCGCCTGGCTTCTTGATTGCCTGTGAAGCCGGTGTTCTAGCGAAAGAACACAGGCTTCAGAGGATGCCCGGCTTCCTGACCAATCAGGAACCCGGGAGGCGAGTCATGAGGTGCTGCCCGGCTTCCTGATTGGTTAGAAGCCAGACTGCTTAGCAACACGTGAAAGTGGCTTTTTAGCCAATCAGGAAGCCTGGCGACACGTCATGACCCTCCTCCCGGCTTCCTGATTGGCTAGGAATGACAATTCCTGCCAGGGAGGCGGGTCATTACATACATTTGATACTTATCAAAAGTTAAGTATTGGAGCATTTGGGAGAGTACTCGTATAGTATATACCAGGGCTCATAATTTCAAGTTCTGAACTATTAGCCAGTCCTTAAGAGTTACTCGCCACCGGTTGCACCGCCTAACCCCTACCCTGCCCTGGCCTTAACTCCGCCCCTAGACACACCCTCCTAAATTATCTCATAAAATTACACTGTTAAATGTTTCATTCAGAATAAAGTTACAAAAATAAATATTAACAATAACAACTTTAACAATATTAACATAACGTAAGTAAACATAAAGGAAAATAGCTATCAATAAAAATCAGAACCCTCCAACGCGATAGACTCAGGACCCTGCAATGCATTCATTTTACTATTTCATTAATTATTAAATATTATTAGTTATTTAATTACTAATACCATTTACTTAAATAACATTGATTAATACTATTATTTAACTATGTGTTTATTTAATGTGAGCACTACACCTTGTGTTATCTCAAACCAAAACCTAAATACAAGTGCCGTGCTACACTAATAAACAAAAATCTGTAAATCCAATTGTGACGGACCCCAGTACTGAGTATGTCCGCCGCTCTATTCTTCCTTGCTCAGGAGATATTGCAAGCCGCTGATGTTTAGCTCCCTGTTTCCCCAGTCACTAGTCGAGACTCGATTGTAGGGTGAAACTAACTCTGATTTATTAAGCAACTGTGCAACCTTTTATACAGAAAGTGATCAGATCAGAATATAATCCCATCACAACCCCCTTCTCCTCCCTGGACATTCTGTCTGAACAACACCACTGGGGTCCACCTGCTAAACAACTCCAGCCAGTCATATCAGGAGCCTGGCCAGAATGTCATTGTCCTGGGCTCCTTCAGAGTACAAAGGGAGATAACGAGGGTGGGGTGCTGAGTCTTTTCATAACCAGGTTACACAGTATAACATCAATAAACATAACTCAACACCAATACACATTTAACTCTCCCTGGAACCCTTCCTGAATAAGGTCCGCAACAATCCAGATATTAAAGGTCTGACGATTGGCTCCCAGGAACATAAATTATCTGCTTATGCAGACGACATCCTTTTTTATGTTATGGATCCCGTCACCTCACTCCCTAACTTGGTCTCGGAATTTGCCCATTATGGACAGCTGTCCAACCTCAAAATTAACTACCATAAGTCTGAAATTCTGCCAATCACAGTCCCGTCAGCAATGGCTCACCAGTTGAGACACAGCTTCCCATTCTCCTGGTCCATGACAGCCATAAGATATCTGCGAATTCAATTGACCAACCACTGCCCCCGCCTGTATCCGCACAACTTTGAGCCCTTACTACACAACCTCCAGAGAGATCTCCAGGATTGGGATCGTACATTTTATTTTACTTTATTTTAATTCATTTTATTTTATATTTTTATCTTTTGCTGTCAGGGTCTATGTTGGACCCCGTTTACTCCCTTGAATGTTTCTTGTGTAAATGTGATTTTTTGTGAAACGAGAAAAATAAAGATTATACAAAAAAAAAAAGAATATGCGCGTTTGTCGCGTGTTTCGTGCCCGTGCGTTTTTACAGGGATTCACGGTAAAAAAACGTGCGTTTCCGAGGGCTACCTGGCTGTATCTCAATGGATACGCGCGGCAAATACGCCCCAAAGAAGCTCCTGTACTTCTTTGGGCGTAGGGCGTTTGGCAGCACGTTCCTACGCGCTGTAAAACGCCCAGGTGGGAACCATGCCCATAGGCAATCATTGGTTTTCACATGTTTCGGGTGGGTGTGGGTATGGTGGGGGAGGGGGGGGGGTGGAAGTTTGGACATAGTGGGATTTATTTATATCTCCATGGAACATTGTACTTTTGTGCAGGAAATAACATATTTATCACCTTCTGCGTTTGCTGTGATCCCAGTTTTTTTATATTCACAATTTTGTTGATGATTGGACTTTTCTGTTTCTCTTATCTCTCAGGTCTCTGGAAGCGCAACACTTGCATTTAAGCTTTAGTTTGAGATAACATATCGTACACAGCCGCTCGCCTAAACCCACCCCCTCCCCTCCCCCTTAGTGCTTCTCATCATCTCCGGCATCTGACCTGTTAGTTTGCGGCTCCACTGGGATATCCAAAGCACACAGGGACACGGCGCTTCCAGCAATGGTGTGGGCGTGGCTGTCGGCGTGGCAGCATCAGCATGAGGCAGAGAGAGTGTGAGCCCTAATACACCGGCTGAATTTCCACTCGGCCTCACTTTATTTCCACTCGCAAAATGCGAGTGGAAATTTTGAGCTCTGGTATATACAGTACTGTGCAAACGTTTTAGGCAGATGTGAAAAAATGCTGTACATTAAGAATGCTTTCTGTAGCCTTACGGCCAAAAAACTACCTCTGATGTGGGAACAAGGCTAAGCGACTCAACTATGCATGAAAACATAGAACTGGGGTGCAGAAAATGGCAGCAGGTGCTCTGGACTGATGAGTCAAAATGTGAAATATTGGCTGTAGCAGGAGGCAGTTTGTTCACTGAAGGCCACCATGCTTCACTGCAGCAACAGTGAAGCATGGTGGAGGTTCCTTGCAAGTCTGGGGCTGCATCTCTGCCCCAGACTTGCAAGGAACCTCCACCATGCCATACCATCAGGGAGGTGTGCGATTGGCCCCAAATTCAGGACAATGACCCCAAAAATACAGTCAATGTCATTAGGAACTATCTTCAGTGCAAAGAAGAACAAGGAGTCCTGGAAGTGATGGTTTGACCCCCACGCAGCCTTGATCTCCACAACATCATTGAGTCTGTCTGGGATTACATGAAGAGACAGAAGGATTTGAGGCAGCCTATGTCCACAGAAGGTCTGTAGTTAGGTCTTCAAGATGTTTGGAACAACCTACTGCCAAGTGCCTTCAAAAATTGTGTGCAAGTGTACCTAGAAGAATTGCTGCTGTTTTGAAGGCAAAGGGTGGTCACACCAAATATTAATTTGATTTGGATTTCTCTTCTGTTCATTACTTTCCAATTTGTTAATTAATAAAAAAAATGAAAACTTATTTCTGAAAGCATTTTTCACACCTGCCTGAAACCTTTGCTCGTTGTTCTGTATCCATAATGAATTGAACTCCTTTTTTTTTTTTCTTTTTCACTTCTTCACTTTACAGGCACTCTAGTGACCTTCTCATGGGCAGGTAAGATAGTATGTCTAGTGACATCTAGTGATCACTTTTAAAAACAAACATCTACATTCTAAGTAAAAGATGTTCTTCAAAATCATTTTACGCTTGCTTTTAAGACTTTTTATGTCGAACTCCAGACTGAGCATTTTTGTAATTAATAAAGTGGGGTGGGGTTAAACCCTCTGCACATTTATAAAGCTGTGAATGACAATCACACTCAACGTTCACTGCAACTGAAAAACATGCAGCAGGAACATACACCTACATTGAATGTTTGGTGAATTTCATATTCAATGCTTTCTAAATATACCCCTCATTTTTAACAGTCTTTTTCTTCCCCTTGGGGAAAGGATTTACGTTAATGGCTGTGACAGAGGTTACCAAGACAGGCATACCACCCAACAGTAGTAAAAAAATCTAACAGAGATATACACCCTTCCATGGTCCCAATCAGGAGTTTCACACTGATTATGGTTTTATTTGCCTGCCTTTACATGCTTTATGTGCCAACATGCATACACTTAAGTCTACAATGTATCCCTTGTTGCACTCAGGTGGTCTTTATTATGTGTTAAAGACGTTCTGCATTCACATGCAGTGCATAGGGGAAAGCCAGTTCCACTATGAACAAGTTATTTTCCTATGCACTGCATGTGAATGTGTACAGAACTCAATGAAGTAATTGGTGGCCCTGTTTACAGATTTGCCGATCAACACAGGGATGTTCTTTTCCTGTTCAATTTGTTTCTTCAGTGCAGGGCAGCAGGTATAAAGAGCCCATGACCATGAGCCCTTTGAATGTGTGCCTGAGATGCTATATTTACTATATTTACTGCCACGGAGGGCACACATAATAAATGTAATATAAGTGATGCTTACAAAACAGAAAGCTGCATACCAATGAAGCTAAAAAACAACAACTAAGAAGTCAGCTGATCAGCCTAATTCCAGAAGTGTATAACAGTGCTTGCTCAGATTGTATGAAGTTCATGCCTAAGAAAACCAAGTACCTTTGATGATATCACTTGGGATTTCATGAATTATAATAAAAGTTAAAGGCCAAATCCAATCACAGCTTTACTGCGTTTTGCTGACTCTGTGGCAAGCCATGAAGTTTAATCTCACCTATACATGCGGTATCTCCAACACGTCCAACCATTTTATTAGAGAGTCCACCAGTAGAGGTCGCACAAGCCACATTTCCTTGGCTGTCAACAGCTACGGCCCCAACAGTCCCCATACCTCTACAAATAAAGAAAATGACAGGTTTAGTGCTTAAAAATACTAAGCTTTATGTATTAAGGGATGAAGTATGAAAACATTAGGAGGCAAGTTAATTCATACTATATTTGTCATCTTTGGCCTGGCATGTAAGACAGAGTCACAGAAACCCAAACGTGCAGTAAGCAATAACTCAACTTCTACTAGACTAAACAAAGATATTTTGATTGTCAATGGTATATAGTGTATGGGTGAGCTTCCGTCACTATCCCGTAGGCCCTCTGAACACAACTGCGTATTAACACTTGCATCTGCTGTGGAGAGCAGATGTCTGTATGGCTTACACTTCTATACACCAAGGATGATGTACTAAAGAAGTTGGACACCGAGGATGATGTACTAAAGAAGTTGGACATAGTCACACAAGAAAGAGTGAAGACTCACTTTAATTCTCCCATCATGTGACAAGCAAATTCTAATTTATTTAACCTGCACATAATTGGATTATTGAAGTGAATCTTCACTCTTTTTTTGTGGGAATATTCTGAACTCCTTTAGCCCTTTTGCTGCCAAAGGCTTTTTTTTTTTCTTTTTTTTTTGCACACATGATATAATCCACATTTTAGGCCTGAAAACTACTTCAAACACAAAAAATATTATATATTTTCTTAAAGCCAAGACCCTGTAGATTACAATAGTGGCAGTTAAAATTTTTTAGGTTGCACGATATTGGAGCAACTTTATATCAAACCCAAAAAGTTTGTGAAAAATGCACTTAAGTTTATTTTAGTGCCCCAAAACACAATAAAATACCCCTTTTTTTGAATATAAAAGATGAGGTTACGATGAGTAAATAGATATCCAACATGCCCAAGTTAAAAAATGTGTGTGTCTGTGAAATGGCGACAATATTCAATACCCCAAAAAGTCTACAGACTATGCTTTAAAAGGCCCTACAGGTTATCAGTTTAGAGATAGGTGTAAATATTGGCCCTAGAATTATTGCTCTCATGCTGGTATGCACGGAGATACGCAATCAACATTTTTCGTACGTAGGCGCACCCAACGTGTGTTTGCTTGAAGAATGGACACACGCTTGCAGGGCAGGGGACTTTAAAAACATTTTTAAAATTATTTTTGTATTTATTTTATTCGATTCGTTTTTGAAACTTTTTTATTTACATTACTTTAATTGCTATCACATGGAGGTGCCACAATCGCTTTTATTGTAAAGCCGGCTTTACAAAAGGTAAACAGAGTGCCGGCGGCGGCCATGCTGCCACCGATGGACTAGGTACGTCCGTGGACGCGAAAGGGTTAGCATACCAGGCTTGCTTTAGTAGTTCAGGAGCATTCATACAGAGGCAAATAATTTAAGTGCAATAAATGTTTAAAAGGAGATTTCCATAAAAAAAAAAGAATCGCATTCTATGACCTGAACATAAGGTTATGACTCTCAGATTTTGTTAGTAGTGACTTTTTTGTATCAGGTAATCAGACTTCATATAGTGACTTTTTTTTAAATCAGTAGGATATTGCACTGACACATAAGTGAGTTTCTGTGAAGCCACAAGGTAAATGAGAATCATCTGCATCTGACCGCTAGTTGCCGGACACAGGCAGGAAAAACAAGCAGTTGTTCTGTGTTTTTATCAAACCCCCCCACCCGCCCCCCCCTACAAACTGACATAGTGGCTGCTCAGGGCCATATACATTGGCATCAATATATTATAGTGCAGCATGTTTAGTTCAGCATGTTACATTTGGCAGGTGGTGCTGCTTGCCAAAAATGCCCATTGAAGTCAATGGGACCGCACTGCAACTGCATGTACTTGACATATGGTTGTGGTGCTGTATTTCAAAGTAAAATCATCCTTGGGATAAAAAAAACAAACCCTGCGCATTCAGGAGGTGGCAGTATTGCCTCCTGAATGCCTGCAAACCACCACTCATTGCATGTTAAAAGCAATCCACAACGGATCACTTTTCAGAGGGTCGGTAAAGCCTGCCACCTGTGTGAACAAGGCATAAAAACTACATAAAAGTAGCAATTTTTATTGTGCGATATTAACCCATACAGCACATGACATGTCACTGCATTACACCTTGGGGAGAATTTATCAAAACTGGAGCAGACAGAATCTGGAGCAGTTGCCCATGGCAACCAATCGGCATCTCTCTTCAGTTTGCTCAGGTAAGATTTGAAAATTAGAAAGAGAAGCTGATTGGTTGCAGTGCAAATCTGCTCCAGATTTTGTCTGCTCCAGTTTTGATAATTTCCCCCCTTTGTATTTTATCAAATTCCATGTTCAACCACACAGAAGCAGTACATCAAAATTGCTGTTGGGTAGCTGAGCCCTAAGCTGTAATACTGCAAGATCATGAATTAATAATTGTGGGTCTCATTGCTTGAAATATTGTATACGAGTGGTCTAACCTACGGCAATGTATTTTACTTTCGATGATTGATAACCCCACTGGTGCTTGGCTTTAGAGCTACTATACATGTATGTGTGACATCACTCTGTTCTGTTTTTTATTCAATGCTCTGACCAATTACAGGGGAGTAGCAGCAGTTTTCAGAGTCATAGTAGTCTTGCAGTAATTGTACCTGCAGGGTAGCTCAAAGTAGTGACATACAATATGAAAAAAAAAAAATATAGATTCTGCATGGTACAGTTTTCTATATGGGTAAACAACATGTACTGATGGGGTGGTCATAATAATCTGGCCACTCAGTGTGCCCAGCAGCAGAGATGGAGGAGGCCGGGGCCCAGCAGTGCCGGGCCGAAGGTTGCCAACTATTCTCATTATTGATTCGTTGGTTGGATCCCGTAGCCCTCTTCTCTATGCTGGGAGATAGTGTTTCATCAGCTCTGTTTCCCCTCCAATTGCAGGGGATAGTAAGCAGTGGGCGGGTGCAATAGCCAGCCTGCTATTGTAATTTGCAATAGCCAGTAGCAGGCTGGCTATTGCACCCGCCCACTACCTGCTGTATTTACATTCAGCTGCCGTCTGCGGAATCTTGCCACTGGCAGCTGTCATTGCCTGGCTGAAGCTATTCAAACTCCATGTGCTTACAATACAATTATTAATTTCAATGGCATCCCAAATGTGCCTCCCACCCGCAGTGTAATCGCCTGCACTGGAACACGCAGTATGCAATGCCGTGCGTTCTAGTGCAGTGCTATTGCAAAAAGTTGTGCATGCAGTTTTATTGTGAAGTAAACTTTGCAACACTGCATTTGTGTATTTTAGTTTAAATTAAGGAAGGTATTTAATTTTTTTTAAATCTGATTAATAAAAAAAATAATCAGCCAACTAATCGATTATGAAATTTAACTTTCACTTTCAAGTCTCCTCTGCACTGCCGCTCTGTGACTGGACAGTGAGTACAAGCAGCACACCAAAGAGCACTGCATTGCAACATACCTGATTAGTTTCTTGTCCTGCTTTTCCCTCTGTAAACACTGCTGTACAGGTATTTGCACTGGTTGCATTTTAAAAAATAAATACATTTTAAAAATGCATTACTTGGGGCCTTTAAATTTGCCTCGGGTTCGACTTTAATTTATAAAAAAAGGTTTCTTATAGGCTGAGATTGAAGGGTGATAGTTCTTACCCCACCATCGGTCTGGGGGCCAGATACAGGTGCCATCACCAGTTCAAAAGGATGGAGGATGCAAAGGCCACAATACAAGCATAACTAATAATCCTGTAAGGTTAAAGAATATCTAAACCTAAGAATAAAAAAATGGAATGTATTGTAGCTCACCAGTCCTTAGATATGGTAGCTGCATTAGCTTTCTTTTTTAAGTGAACTACATTTTCTCCAAGTACAGAAAAATACCGGCTGATCTTGCCACAATTCCAGTGTCCTTTTAACTTCCTTCTTCACAAAACTAAAATCTCAAACAATGGTAATCAGCCTTCTCAGCTATTTTCCATGAACTATAAAACACATTCTAACTTCATAATACAGATAAGGAGGGGGTAGGTGTCTGTTGTCCAAATTCAGGAGAGTAGCCTAGGGTGACAATGCTGCTTCCTTGTAGATACAGTGCAGTTTGGGAGCATTGTTAACCTGTTACTGGCAGAATCACCAGGAGAAAATAAAGGAAAACTTAATGGAAGGACAATCACACTATCCAGACAAATGCCAGCCGACAGGAATCGTGCAGATTAGTTACCTATCCCAATCACTATTGTCATCACCACTTTTACGACACCTTTGTTTCATCGTTAGATGGGAGATCAAACATCACATGAGCTAAAAAAATCCTTAAAAGTTCTCCATATTGAAGATTAGGATACAGGAGCCACAAACATTTCGACCCTGAATTTCTGGTGTTATAACAGGATGTGAATATGACCCTATGGGAGTCAGAAACATACAGATGAGCGATCTGTAATTATTTTTAGGGAATGCTCTGCAACACTTTAGAGATCTGCTGATCCAAGGGCCTATGTCTGAATATCTGACCCCCTTCCAATGTATAAGGATAAATAACCGTTCCTGATCTGCTCATTGTTGGAAGAGACGACTGGCAGATTGTTATTTTTATTGTTCCCCTGTGTGTGGCAGGCTCAAGAAACCCAATTCCAGAGGGCCTCGGCCCGTCCTTTGAATTACAGGAAGAGAAACATCCCCATTTCAAGGCATACAGCATATTGAGTCATGATATAAGTATTTGTTATGTGAATGTTGGATGTTTGCCTCCTGTTTTAGAGCATATGTAACCCTGCTGACTACATTCTCAGTTACCTGTTATTTTTGGAAAGAAAACAATAAAAACTTACTGAAAACAAAAAAAAGAAACCCAATTCACCTCCTCCATTCTCCGGTGAAGGTCTGTATTAATCAGCCATTCAGATGACAATCAAGTCATCTGCACCAGAAATACAACCTTGAAAATGTGTAAACATAAGCAAGTTCAAATGTGAAATGTACTCTTGTAGCACACTACAGTTTTCCTATAATAAAACAAACCGCTTCCCTGATAGTACTGGTCAGTTGTGAATGGTGAGAGGGTTGGTCAGTTGCCATTAAAAAAAAAATAGTAAAACAAATGGAAAAGCGCACTACCTGGAGTACCAACTGTTGAGGACATGGGCACAAGTGATTACAATAAAAATTGATAATTAAGAGTTAAAAAACAGTGTGCAAGCTCTATGGTGAACAGGGTGAGGGACCCTGTATGGAGCGCTCTAAAAATATCTGTGTATATTTAAAAAAAATAGCTCACTGGACAAAAAAATATATATAAATAAAGGGAGGAAGAATCAATGTGTCAAGATGACAGCTGCAATTGGACTGGTTTCTATGGGCAACTTTTTGTCCCTAACAATATTTCATAAAATAAGAAACGGATTATATAATAAAATATATTAAAACAGACATTACAACTGACTTTGGTTTTGAACCAGCGTTTAGATTTTTCTTCCATCTTTCTTTTGAGCGTTCAGAGATGAGTGTTTCACCAGGAATTTCTGGGATGCCTTGTGACTTTGCAAACCGTGATGCTCCTTCACACGTTAAAAGCATGTGATCAGTCTATGAAACGGGAGTCATAAGGAATCAGAGGTTTAACAAAACAAACTCAAATGACTTTCATTAAAATACCCTGTCTGAATGTTCTAGACGGATCTCTGACTTTGCTTTTGGTTATCACACATGACTGACAATAAACCAATATTATTTGCATTTTCTTTTAAATACAAACATAAAAGGGAATACTTAAAAGATGAAATGTGCATACACATGGTGTCTGGAGAGGACATGTCTGCCTGGTAAAATCTGCCTTGTTTTAAAAAGCCAGTCCAAGCTTTAGAGCGACATACAGGACCCTTGTGATCAGAATTTTAAAGTGACACTAAACTCAGAAGTTAAATCTTAAAAATGCATTCAAGTACCTTAATTATTAACAATAAATGTATCTTATTTATGTATCACTCGGCTGTAGATCCTCAAATCATCTCTGAATTGGTGCTGACACTGTCCTTCCTTCTGGAGGGTGGCTACTTTTGTTCCCCATGGTCCCTGTGTGTGTTGCAAAGTAGCCACCACTCCAAGCTCACTGATATGATAGACTACAATCTCATGTTTAGTTTACTAATTTGTACTGAGATTATAGTCCATCACAGGAGCGAGCTTGTAGCGGTGGCTACTTTACAACAAGTGAAGGAACAAAAGTAGCCACCCTCCAGAAGGAAGGACAGTGTCAGCACCAATTCAGAGATCATTTGAGGATCTACAGCTGAGTGGTACACAAATAAGATACATTTTTGTTAATAGTTAAGGAACTTGAATGCATTTTTAAGGTTTAACTCCAGAGTTTAGTGTCAATTTATATCGTTTCAATTGCATTAAATGTGGCTGGAGGACACAACTGTCACTTTGCAGATTGACCACTAGATGTCACCATTTTTCACATAATGCTACACACAGGTACTCTTATGAGAATCTGCACACAAGTATGAATATTATGCCAACAGCACTCATTTTCAATTTGTAAAAAGAAGTCATGTGTGCACTACAACTGGGGATAAAAAGTAGCAAAAAAAAGGATAACAACTTACTAGCTACAGGTGTAACAAGGGCTATTTTAGCTTGTTGTGCTAAAAAGCTGGAATATCCTTAGGACTATTCAATAAAGCTTATTAGGGATGTTCAGATACCAAGTACCGTACTCAGTAGAGGTACAAGTACAGATACTTTTCCATTTTCAAGGCCAGTCTAGGGAAAAATTCAAAAGTTAGGACGCAGCTGTCATTATTAAGAAGCATACGGGGCTCCTGGGATTTGTGGATCACTGTTTTAATGAATTGGTTTTTTTAAAATAAATGTATATAAGTGATGCACCGATGCCATTTTTTCAAGTACTGATACTTGTCTAACTCCTCACAGATACAAGTACTGATACATTTTTGTTTAGTGTCATGTGACAGTTTTTCTAACACGATACAGACTAATGATTTCAGGACAATGGTGGAGCACCAGAGCTAGGTCCCAGCTGCAACCCTGGTAGTTCTCGTGAAAATGGCAAGTATCGGCACTGGTATCTGAACATACCTAGTTCTAATTCTTAGGTGCAGTATTCTTCAACAACCATTAACTCTCCTCAAGGCAGATCAGAACAAAAAGAATAGAGATTGGTTGGGTTACTGCACTTACAAAATTATCACTTATCACAAAAAACAAGAATTATTAATTATATTTTTCATAGGGTTGTCACTGCCAAGAGTCTGTGGCATAAATTTTTCCCCATAGTTCTCCTAAGGGTAACGGGAGGACACAAACTAGCGTCCTCCCGTCAGAGTATAGACACTTTGAAGAAACTTTTAGATGCCTTTCTCAGTGAAGTCATCTAAAATTTTCTAAGGGTAACGGGAGGACACAAACTAGCGTCCTCCCGTCACCCAAAGCTCAGTATACCGCGAGCTACAGCCGGAACGGCTCCCGACAATTCTGTCCGGATCCACCCAGCTGCTTATGAGGCTGAGTGAAAATCACTTGCCTCATAATTCTCCTTAAAGGCTACATTCACACCTATAGTTTAGGTGCAATTTGTTTTTCCTGCGACAGTGACCTGCAATTTCCTTCAGCAGCAATCCAAAATATGCTGTTTACAAGCAGCAGCTGTCACCCATTTAAGTTACGTTAATGGTTGGGTGACAGCGGCTGCATTTGAAAGTGGCAAAACGCAGGCAGCCTGTAGTGGGTGGACCTACTGGGTCCCTCCCGCAGCTTTGCTCTCTGCACAGCAAAGTTCATTGCTATGTTTACAAGGCAATAACTAGGTATGCAAAGGTATTTGGTGCACACAAAGTAGATTTATATCCTTTGTGGCTATTAAGGAACATTTGTAAATGAATGTTAATGTGCCTGGAGTTCAGCTTTAATGGTGCCCCTTTAAACAAAGCATTTGTACAAGTCACATAGGATTATTAAAATATAATCAAATGAATAACAGCTATCTATGCCAGTGATTTGAGAACGATAAGCAGACAGCATAGCCAGATACACCATACACCCCTTACATTATTTTTGTTAAAATACCTTTTCCATTACAAGGCGAGCAAGTTTTATTGGGTTAGCAATACATCTGACTGCAGAGACAGCTCCCGAGGATAAATCCTTGCCATCCATGATAATAGCATCCATCTCAACGTCTCCTTCTTCATTCAAAACAGATCCATTGCCTTAGGAAACAAACACAAAGGTTAACAGACAAAAGACTGACTTCTGGATTATGCTTCACTGAGAGGAAATCATATCCGTCATCACTTATCTTAAAAACTAACGCAAAGCACAAGCACTACATGTACAACTATTACCATTCTAGAAGTGAACGCAAGTCAGACTTTTTTTTTTGCTTCATTCTTTTCTGCTTTTTATGTGTGATTTCTTTGAAGAAAAACCTTTAAAATGGCAGTGTCAGGAAGTGTAATGTGTAAATTATACTTACACTGGAAATGCTGCTGCAATATGCCCACTGTCTGCACTATGCAATATTTAAATCCAATGTAGTCAGGCTCATACACACCCCAGGCTGTGAAAGGGATTCTTTATTGTTAGAGAGGTGAAACTGTAGAACTCCCTTCACCAGGCAGTGGTATCAGCTGAGAGTATAGACACTTAGAAGAAACTTTTAGATGCCTTCCTCAGTGAACACAATATACAGGGGTAGGGGTACCCTTAGTGACTCATACACATATAGCTTCAACTAGATGGACATGTGTCTTTTATCAACCCTAACAACTATGTAACATCTATGGAGACAACTACTTGAATTCAGACAATGGCATCAGGATCAGAAGTGTGGGAGAGGAGGGTGAACAGCGGGGAAAAGGTAGATTTTGCAGCAGTTTTGCCAGTGAAGGACACCACAGAGGTAAGTGCAGCTTTCAGGTTGCACCAATCTACTGAAACACCACCATTATAACCATCCTGGAGTTCTTCTTTAACCACTTGAGGACCTTAAACATAGAAGCTACACTCTAAAAAACATCAACAAAGTTTCCAGGGCGTATGTCCCACATTCACCTCCTCTCCCCCCAGAGTAGAGTCTGAAAGAGTCATTAAGTAATACAGTGTAACAAGTCATTGTTGTATTGTATTTACCATTTTATCTATATGTAGATCAAATCTGTGACTTTTGATCTGCATATGACATCAATTAAAGAAACAATACAAGTAAAAAAAAAAAATTGAATGTATTCTTTTTAATGTATTCTTATTATTGACACTTAATCACAATTCAGCCCTAATTAGCTCCTTCCTCACCTTTACCTATTAGCTGTTATTTGCTGACATTATTACCATTAATATTTCATGTTTTTGTTTGCTTTCATTTGTTATTTTTTCCAGTGTTGCCTATAAAAATGTGCAAAATAAAGTATATTTTTATTTACAAACAAGTTTGCCATGTTTTGTATCAAAAACATCATTTGAACTAATTTTAAAATACATTATAGAATAAAATACTATTTACCTACAGTAAAACTCCTTTTTTTAAAACGAACACCAATTTACTATTTATTCCAGAGAAATACCATAGATTAGACAAAACACACAACAGATTTTGCTACATATACTACTTTTCCACGTTTGTAATGCATGCAGAAACCCATTGAATCCAATAGTGACAAGCAGCAAATGCGGGAACAAAACGCGCACAAATGAGACGCCCTTCCTGGTACGCCTAGGTGTGAAAGGGGACTAGCACTATAAAAGTTTCTTGACATTCAGCAGCATATTATCCACACTCAAGTGTGAACGTGTGCAAAATCACATAGATCTTGCACGTGTTTACAAAAAAACAAGCAAACAGTTGTTGGGCTTGCGATGCAATTAATTGATAATGGCACCCCAAACACAGCAAGCGCATAGGGCTGCCCATTCAAATTTTTGCAAAAATGGAATGCGCAAACTCACACATAGCAAGTGTGAATGGGTCCTCACTGAAAGATAAAGACAACAGAGACATTTATGTCTAAGGGCTTGCTCACACTATTAAAATGCTCAGTTTTATCACGTTGGTGTGGTGTGACAGGTCCAGCATTGTGAAGCACTGTTTCAGCACATCACACTGTTTGTACACTTCAAATAAAGTTGTAAAAAAAAAAGTGTAAAGTGTCCACTCCATTCAGGTCTCCACACAGCAGAATGGCGTGCTGCGCTAAGAGGACCTGCTGTGTGACGCAGTGTGCTGCAAAAAAATGCAGCTGGCATACATTTTTTTCCAGTGCACCGCACCTCACACATACATTGTTGTGTGAACAGGGCACATAGAAAACCCTATATAGATTAGCCCTATATATAGAGTCTTTGTTTGAATATAGAAGGGAAGAGTTACAAATGACACAAACCCTGTCAGTTTTTATTTTTACATCGTCCCATTGGAGAGATTTCCCTTCACTTCCTGCCCCATATACACATCAAAAACTGAAATGAAAACTCTCTAACGGGAGGGCAATCCTCTGCAATGACAATTTACCTGACACCTAGGCCATTATTCTCTATGGCCAGTCCCTATTCTGCCACTTAGGCAGTGCACAGTGATGTTTATAATGATTTTTGTAGTTAAATGAGGAACACAGATGCAGAGTCATCATCCTTTTTCCCCCTTATTTTTTAAAGACAACCAATCCGGAGCTTTGGGGGTGATCAAACTAATAATGTCAAAATTAGAATTTTTTTTGGCACCTGCAAGTATGTAGGTGAAATTTATCTAGCTTTCAGTAGGCCAGGGGAGACCCTGGATAACATATGTACACTATGTACAGCACTGACTCTGTATCATTTACAGGTCATCAGAAATCTATTCTGTCCACGACACAAGTTAGGATTTTCACTAAGGATATTTATAATATGTATATGTGATGAAAATGTATTTTCCAAAATGTTTGTTTCATGTATCCTGTGTACCACCTGAACATTTACCACCTACCCCGCTTCATCTCTATTGGATGTAACTGAACAGTCTTTGACAGGGATCAGGGTGACCATAAAGGCTCAATTCTGTTTCCTATTTGGAGAGACAGAATGTAATGAGCAATATCAACATCAGTAGTGTTTATTATTGCTTCCAGAGATTGTTCAACTTGTTTAAAAAAATCTCTACACTTAGGGGTCAGCCCTTTCCTCTTAATCAATAAACGGCAGCCAATAGTAGTATTTCCTCTGACCGACCAATTATCTTAATATACAAGACCCATCAGACTGGTTAAAGCTGGGCAGATGCTTCCTCAAGAAAAAAAGGAATGGGAAGCCATCAGTGTATGGCCTATTTTGTTCTAGAAGCACACACTTCATTCTCTCATGGCTACCCTCTTCATTTCCACCTTCAAATGGTCAACAGTCTGTTCTGAGAAAGCTAATGTCAATAATCAAACTGCCCTTCCAGAATGGCCCCGGAGCCTATGACATTGTGCATGTTAAATCTGCATACTACTGGTAGTGCATGTCACAAGCAGTCAGCATCAACATGTTCTCCTGCAAGACATTATTGCATATACAACCGAGAGTTTGGCATTTTCTTTTTCTTGCATGTGACACATATATCATACTTATACCAGAAAATAATATTAGCAACCCTGCTTAATGACTACCAAGATAAGCTAATTGGGCCTATAGAGAATGCATAGTTTTTAATCAGTCAGCACTGATCCATATGCACTGAAACAAAGTAGCAGTCATTTGGCAATACTGCCATGCAGAAAGCACAGCCTACATATTTAATGAGTATATATGGATGAAGTCATGGACCTATACGTACGTTTACAAATTATACCCAGAAACAATAACTTGAAAACTAGGGATGCACTGATACCGATACTAGTATCTGTGCCGAGTATTTGGGCGAGTACTCTTACCTTCCGATACCTTCCCCCAATATCGGAACTTCCGGTCAGAGGATTATTTCCTCTGACCGGCAGTGCCGTAGGGGAACCCTTCTTCCTGGCAATCAGGAAGAAGGGTGGCGAGTAATGACCCGCCTCCTGGCTTCCTGATTGGCCGGGAAGCCATCTCCTTGCCGATTCCCGGGACAATCAGCATCAAGCCAGCCGAAAAGCCAACTCAATGCTTATTGGCGGGGAAGCAGGTTTCCCGGCCAATCACAGTGGAGCAAACCAAACTACATGGAGTCGGCTTCCCAGGCAATCTGGAAGCCGGACGGCATGTCATTACCCGCCGCCCAGCTTCCTGAGTGCCCGGGAACCTGGCTCCAGAAGCATCGGTATTGGTTCTCAGTATCTGAGTACCGAAAGCAAAATATCAGTACTCGTACTCAATACTGAAAAGCTGGTATTGGTGCATCCCTATGTACACATTAAAGTGACATTAAACCCTCAGATTTTTTAACATAAAACAATACTGTAATGTGTGCCTTACTGTAATCCATGGTTGTTTCCCTTCTCTTTGCTGCTCTTCCTTTTAAATCTGTATCTCTTCTCATGCTTGGGGAGAACTTCCCTTTGCAGCTGAGTGCCTCTTCCTGTAGTGCTGGCTCAGGTTGTGAACCTACACACAGACACCATGTATCCATTCCAGAGACAAGGCAGTCTGCTGCAAAACAGAAGTTCTGCCCAGCATGAGAACAGATACAGATTTTAAAAAAAGAGCAGCAAAGAGAAAGGAAACTACCATGGATTACAGTAAGGCACACATTACAGTATTGTTTTATGTTAAAAAATCTGAGGGTTTAATGTCACTTTAAGCTTGGTTGATTTACACAATCATATAAAAATAAGAAAACAGGCTCAATTCATTAAGCTATAATGACAGCTATTTGCAATAACACCCGTTATTTTTAGCAATGCGGGCCAATGAGAGCTGGAAATCACAACCACAGAGCTAAATAATATTGTATTGGCAAATGAAACATGCATTATATATTAGTTAACTGAGCTTTATGTTAAAAAAATTAAATTTTTTGCATTATTTTGGAAACAATGCTGAAGCATTCACCTGCATTGAAATGCGGATCATCTTCCAGCACAACCACAGCTTCTTCTACTGCCGTTACTGCGTCCCCACCTTGTCTCAGAATATCGTAACCTCGGAGGGCTGCTCTCTTTACTCCAGAACGGTACCCTTCTGCATTTTCATGCACAATTACACCAGCACCACCATGGACAACAACAACAGGCTTCATTTTCCCTGCATAGCCGCTCAATTACTCAAAATTACAAGGGTTCTTCAGTATAAAGTTCTGCAGCATCTAAGCGGCCCTGTGGTAAGTAACATGAAAGTGTGTCCAATCCCTTTCTTGGTGTATCACAAGCTGTATTTCACCTACATGAGTAAATTGTATAAAACAAATATCAGACTTGTGAGTAGGGATCTCTATCCAAAACAAAGAAAAAATAAATAAAATCGAAGGGCTTAAGCACTGGTTCACACCTAGGTGGCACCGCATTTGCGCGTTTGTTTGCACGTTAGCAGCATGTGGTTATTTGTGCGATGTGCACATTTGTATGCGTGTTTTAACATGCGCACATGAAGACGCACATTATGATTGCCAGCTCATAAACCATTGTGGGCAATGGAAGAACACGCGTATAAACGCGCAAAAACACTCACGAACATGTGCAACTTGCTTCTGTTACGCGTTTTTAGACATTTCCAATGAAGTCTATGGGGAAGAAAAGCGCTTTTAACTGCCCAAAGAAGCTCCTGTATCTTTTCAGGCGTCTGGCGTTTTTCTGCTCAGGTGTGAACCAGGGCCATTGAAAATCATGGAATTTCTTGTGTTGGGCAGTTAAAAGCGCTTTTCGAACTGCTTTAAAAAACGTCTAGGTGTGAACCAGGGCTTACACTGTACAAAAACAGACATTTCCCAGCACACTCACCAGCCAGCCTGCAAAAAAAAGGACACGGTCTCACTACTAAGGTAGTAAAGTACTTCCATGTGCTCCTTGCTTTAAAGCTAGTTATGAATTGAGTACGTTTGCCATTCGTTTCACTTGTTGGATTTGGTGTGGGGGCACTTCCTGCTTTGAAAGTGCAAATTACTTCAGTTTGCTAACGCAATGCACTGGGATCGACTTGTCATCAGCAGAGCATTGCTGGGAAATCTCATCTGTAATCTCATGAGATCTGAGGGAAAGGTATTTCCTCTCCTGAGATGATGTGCATAGTCACATGTCTAGTCACATGTTCCAGAAATCTAGGAAATAATAGGAGAGCTTGTAATCTGCCCTTAGTAAACATGGCCACTGTCAGAAGATATGCAAAGAATACAGAGCCTGAAATTATCTAGAAGTATGTGTTTGTAGATTGTCATTACTAAACATTTCTTACGGTGTGTTTGTTGTTATTTTATAGATAAGGGTAAAGGTCCACTGTAAGGGGGTTGGGCAACCTCCCAGCGAACCTGCACCCAATTCATCCTTTGCTATAAATATGCTCCAAGATGGAGGCTCTCAAAGATTAGATGAGTTAGGACCACACTATACAGAGGAGCCTTGATGAGGCGGCGCGGCTTCCACATATTTTGCAAAAGTTGTGCAACTAAAACCTCTGTTTTTAACCTTAGTAGTGAGACAGTGTAGTTTTTTTTGCAGACTGGCTGGTAAGTGTGCTCGGAAATGTCTGTTTTTGTAGGAGCATATATACCTAGCAGCACAATACCTAGATCATCAGCTTTTGAATACACTAATTGCTTGATAATGGTATTTTTGATATGGTATTTTTTTACTTGCCCTTCAATTTGCACCCTCTAATGGATTCTACGCAGCAATATACAAGAAATACATTTTGGGTATAGTTGAAGTTTAATGAAGCTAATAAAAGGGAGCAGTGCAGAATGCATAAGACAAAACATGAAGGTGCATACAATTACTATATTCAATTTTCAGGCCACGTACATTTTGTGTAAGTACAGGAAACAAATATGTGCTAAACATGCCAAAAACCCAATACCATTGCAACGTCCTGTGAACTGAACTAAAATCTGAAACATTGTTAGCAGCCTTACAATGCTCTTCTGTGAACTACAGAACACCACCCTCAAACTTATGGAGATGAAAAGGTGGAGATTTTTAATCCAAATCAGGAGGGCAGCCTTGGGCAACAGTGATACGCCTCCACAGACATTACAGTGAGCATTGTCACCCTAGGACAGGTATGGTATTGGTAGAAACAGCAGGTGAAAATAAAATCAAAAAGCCTGAAAAAAAAACACTAATGCAGTCACCACATTTAAAAAAGGACTCCAGGTAAAGAAACCCCCCCCCCCAAAAAAAAACCTTACTTCTCAAATCCAAGCAGTTGCCGGGAAGGACAGGTGCTGCATGTGATTAGTACGCAGCCCCCGTCCTTCTCTATGGGGCTACGCAGCCGTACGTCCCCCTACACTGGCCCGCCCTGCACGTCTGTAGGGGTGCGGGTGAGCGTATTCATACGCCGCCGGAATAGATCCTGTATGCGCCCGGGCCAGAAAACCCGCACCCCTACGGACCTGCAGTTGAGGTGAGCGTAGGGGGGCGTACGGCCACGTTGCCCCATAGAGAAGGACTAATCACACACAGCACCTGTCCTTCCCAGGAGCTGCTGGAGTACAGCCCTGCAAGCAGCACGGCGCTGTACGTGCGGGCCGATTCGTATGTGAATGGGGCCTAAGAGTTGTCTAGGGGCGCACATAAAGCTACATTACTGTAGTCTGTAGTAGGGATGCACCGATAATATCGGCCGTAAATGGCACTTTTGGCATAATGCCGAAAGTGCCATTTTCCTGCCGATACATCGGCGCATCCCAGGTTTCTTTCCTCCCCGCTGGGAGCTGCTCTGTGTCCCAGCGGGGAGGAGAGAAAGTGTGATAGCCGGCCGAGCGCTGCGCGAGGAGAGTGCTGTGAGCTCAGCCTCCTATCATAGTCCGGCAGAGCAGTGTGTGGGCGGAGACTGGCTGCGCTGTCACAGGAGGCTGAGCTCTCCTCCCTACACCACCCCGCCCAGCCTCCTGTGACAGTGTGTCAGGAAGGAGAGCGGGTACAAACACTCAGCGACTAGCGATCGCTGAGTGTGTGTACACAATTGAGGACATGGTATGTTAACTATATCCTCAATTATGAATAAATGGAAGTGATCTACATCTCCTCCTGTTCATTAATAGTTGTGATTATAGTAAATTCTTTTCTGTAGTCCTCTATTGCTGGCTGCCATTCTCCATTGCTGAATAATCATGGATTGAGTTATAGTTCTTTATAATTATAAAGACACTGCCCTAAAATTATTAGTCTATATTGTTTTAGAAAAAATTTCACATGTCCCTTTAAGAAAAAGTACTTGTAATTTGTATCGGCAAGTACCTGAGGAAGGTACTATGCCTTGAAAAAAATGGTGTTGGGGCATCCCTACTTTAAAGAATGGCAAATGATTTTAAATCAATCATTCCACGTTAAAAAAATAAGTGGCCAAGATTTCAAACAATTTCTTATTTGTCCAGGACTGGCAGGTCCAGCAAGTTCAACCCAAGAGCTGACTGTTTGTTGCTAAAAGAAGTCTCCAACCCTGAAATGTCATTGTGGAGTGTTCAGGTAACTCTTGCAACAGTTGGGTTGAAAGTGTACAAATATAAGATCAGAAAGAGATTGCACCAATTCAACCTGTATGAGAGGTGTGTTTAAAAAACAAAAAACCCTTTGCTGTCCAAAAACAGCATTCAAGCAATATTACAGTTTGCTATTGATCATATAGGTAAATACCAGGCCTTCTCAGGGGTGTGGACATTTAAAAAAAAAACTACTTGCCAAGGACTAAAGCGGGGGCCCAATCTACTTGTCCTGATACGGTTTTGGTTAAAAAATGTTGTATTTAACCTTGCTAAGAGGCATTTTTTATTGGCAACCGCGGTCAGGATGTAACTGCTCACAATTTGCAAGATTTAAAATCCATGGCGCAGGATGGCAGTACAGGGTACTGATCGAACACCTGCATCGGCGGAGGGAAAGGACTGTTAACCGAAAGGTAAGTATAGCAGAAGAGGGGGAAGAGGGCCATATTTTCCAAAATTACTTGGAGAAATGAACTTCCTCTTTAACCACTTGCTGACCGGGGGGGTTAAACCCCCTTCCTGGCCAAGCCATTTTTCAGTATTCAGCACTGAGGTCCTGAATTTGTGACTGACTTTATTCCGTCATGCAACGCTGTACTGAAATTAATTTTATACCATTTTTTGGGGACAGATAGAGGTTTCTATTGGTGGTATTTAATCACCACTGGGGTTTTTTATTTTTTACTATATAATGAAAAAAGTTCAGAAAATTTTGAAAAAAAAACAACTGTTTTCCCTATGTTATGCTATGAAACATTTATTATTTTATTTATTATTTATCCAATTTTTTTTATAGCAGAAGAGGGGGAAGAGGGCCATATTTTCCAAAATTACTTGGAGAAATGAACTTCCTCTTTAACCACTTGCTGACCGGGGGGGTTAAACCCCCTTCCTGGCCAAGCCATTTTTCAGTATTCAGCACTGAGGTCCTGAATTTGTGACTGACTTTATTCCGTCATGCAACGCTGTACTGAAATTAATTTTATACCATTTTTTGGGGACAGATAGAGGTTTCTATTGGTGGTATTTAATCACCACTGGGGTTTTTTATTTTTTACTATATAATGAAAAAAGTTCAGAAAATTTTGAAAAAAAAAAACTGTTTTCCCTATGTTATGCTATGAAACATTTATTATTTTATTTATTATTTATCCAATTTTTTGGTAAAACATAAAAGACGGGGTCATGTCAGGTAAATAGATCACCAAACATGTCAAGCTTTAAAATTGCATGCACCTGTGAAATCGTAGAAAACTACCATACCCAAAATTGGCCATAGGCGACGCTTTAAAAGCTTTTACCGCTTATCATTTTAGTGTTATCAGTGATTGATGGGCCTAGAATTATTGCTCTCACTCCGACGTTCGCGGTGATATGTAACATGTGTGGTGTAATCTTTGTTTTCTCATGCAGGCGCACCCGATGCATATTTACATTTATATGGGGGGTGGGGGACTTACATTTTTTTGGGGTGTTTATTTTTTATTAATAGACTTTATTTTATTTTTTTCACACTTAAAAGAGGTCCTCTTTATGCTATCACATAGGGGGCTAACAAGCCCCCTTTGTGATAGAGATTATATAATGACAGGTCCTCATTATGGACA